AGAACCCTTCTTCCTTATCCCCGCGGAACGGTACCTGAAAGAGATTAGGAAAGGGTCGCTGACTAAGTGACGTACGCTGACAATCATGCGCAAAATCATTCAGATTCTGATTTCACAAAAACCACAGCTCCTCACACGCTGATACGAAAGAAAGATACAAGAGACTAGACAACAAACGAGACACACCTCTTATGAGAAAGAGACAAACAAACGACTCTCTATACTCTGAAAATGCTTTCCTTACACATGGCAAACTAGGCAGAGTAAGTAACGAAACATTTCGTTACAACCTGTACCATAAAAGTAGAATACTCAACAGGGAATTCATGAATTGTCTTACCCAAGTAGAAGAGGCTCAACAAGTGTTGGTAGATGTCATGAAGAAGCCAGGAAGCAGGAAGGTGACGGTCCTTGGACCAAATCCACAAGGAATGAAACCAACCAACGTATAAAGGTTGGCTTTATGTCGTGCCCAATTAGGAAGAGATTGATCGTCACAAGGTGACATCGGTGCCTTGATTACGAGCATATAGGAAGAGGTTGTAAGGCGATGGACAGATCGACTGCATGCTTCAAGTGCGGAGAAGTTAATCATAAGTTCACAAACTGTAAAAGAAGCCAAAGCTACTTCCTTTGTAAGGAGAAGTATGGCGATAAGGTAAATGTGAACCATATTGTCGGTATTGGAGACTTCCACTCAGTCCTTAAGGTAAATTCCGCTCTTAACTATTGACGCAGGATATCCGCAGGATTTAGAGAAAGTCGTATTTGTGACAGAGATGAAGCACTACCCTTAAAGGCAAAAGTCTTATGACAGTACCGAGTGTGGACAAAAGGGCTCCAAAAAGAAGGTTTAGTAGGTCGGGCTTTTTAATTTAAAATGCTTTATTTATTTATTAATTATTTTTCTTTTATACCAACCCCAAATAACCTTCGATTGGGGATTACAAGGTATCTGTAAACAGATTTCCCAAAAGTCCCTGTGCACAAAAAAGTGTTGATGGAACATTACTTAAACAGAATTCGCAAAATACTGTTACTGAATTAAGATAAGATTCAAGTTTGCAAGTTGAAAAGCCGCTGATTCATAAATCGTTTATTTAATTCTTGAAACTAGTGGATGTGTATATATGTACGCAATACGCCTACACATTTATGATAATGAAAAAAGTTGAATGAATGTCTTTATATTATTTCAGCAAATATTGTTCTTTGAGCAAAAATGTAAATATTTTTTCATATCTATTTTTAGCACTTTCCATAAAATATACCGCACACATATTGTTTTCAGTTAATATCAATTTTTCAAACTTTCTAATTTACATTTGCGTAAATTTATTTATAACTTTATACAACAAACGATACACTAACTATACAGTTGTATGTTTATTACTTTTCTAATCGTTTAAAGTTTGCTATTGATTACTCTGTCATAGTTGTATTCACGAACGTGAATGGATAGCTAATTGAATTAATTAACTGAAAAAAGGTATTATAATTGAAATAATGAGATGAAATCCGTTAACTAATGAATCACGTCAATCAATCATGTCAATAAAATAGTTAATCAATGAAAGTAAGAGGCAGTAGTTTAGATGAAGTGGAGGGATACATTGAACTGATTATGTCAAAGATGCAATTAACTTTTTAGCACATGTTTCTCGACAGCAGGCGATAAATATTACTTAATCGCGTACAAATGCATGTGTAGTTTGGTTGTGTACACACGTGTATATAGTTAGAATTTATCACTCATTGAATTTCTACTCCTTGAACCACTTTATATACCGTTACCATCCAGCAGTAACATCTATAACATATTTGCATCGCTTATTATTCGCATTATCGTTGCACGTGAACGATTGAATGAAACTGTTTTTATCTTTCGGAATCAGTAAGCGCATCTGTTTATTGATAGTAGGTACAGTTTCAAAAGTATTTTTGTAATCTACAAGGTTAACTTTTTCTCTTATGCTGGGCTTTATATTTAAATAAAATTTATTAAAAAAACTGAGGTCTTAAGAAATACAAAGAAAAAACAAATAAATTGGACAAAATATCAAAAAATTTAAAAGGGCGATCCCTTTTAAATTTTTTTAAAGCAGATTTCGAGAATTTTAGTAAAACCGTTTTCGACAAATTCCAAAATCTCGATCTTTGTTTAGCAGAAGAACTTCCTTTCTTTGTCTCGCCAATAAATAATTTGGTGGAAGGCTCGTAAGAACTAGAACAGCGCAAGCAGACACCGTTCCGTCTAGCTTTACTCTCCTGCGAAGTTTACTCAGTACGTCAGCATAAGCTTTGCCTGATGATCTATCTCCTCTGGAGAGTAAACCCATTAGACAGGTGGTCCAGGCAAATGGAAATACTTCTAATTTCAAGTCGTTCTGTAGCCACATTAGTCTAAGATAGATTGAAGAAAGTTAGGAGAATACTTCTCGGGGACACTCCCTTCAGTTCGTGGCCTGACATGCTTCGAGGAGCTGCTAGGGTAAGACTAAGAACTCTCTCCCTAATACATCGGATACGTACACTCACGGTGCTAGTTGGTGATCAGTGTATAGAGCTGCTACTAAATCCAGGTATGATCCATTTTTGATCGAATTGCGTCCCAGGGGCTACGGGGGGTCGATCGAATTGCGTCCCAAGGGCTGGTAGGTAAATGTTGAATTGCGTCCCAATGATTTCAGGTATAAGTGGAATTGCGTCCCAGGCAAAACTAAAAATTACCCCCCCCCACATTTTCCTTCGCACTCTATCCAGGCTTAGGACTGGCAGCATTGCTGGCGTGTTTAAAAATGTGAGTTGGCATTAACTTTTATATGAGAAATTAATAAATGAATAAAAGCAACAAAGTGTCTTGTCAGTTATGATAGAAAAGATAAGCAGCAAAAAGTGCCTTGTCGGTTAAGTTAGAAAAGAAAAGCAGCAAAAAGTGCCTTGTCGGTTAAGTAAGGAATACATACAATGAGGTGCAAAGTACAAACAACGATAACACTTATTTACTGATGGGCAAAAATTTTTTAGATACTTGTTCAACATAATCTAATGGCGTAATTAAATTATTATGCAAAAGCAACATTTTATTGGTCATGAACTGTTCTTTAATTATAGTCTCTTTGTATTTTTTCCCCCTGCTTCTCATTTTTATATAGACTTCGCATTGCACTCCTTTTAAAATGTCAATAAAATTAAAAATGTTTGGATTAGATTTATAGAAAAACGATTTTAATTTTGAATGAAAGCATTCACAGCTATTTGTAGTTCGAGTTATACTGTTGGAAAATTCAGCCCAAATTTCTGGAGGAAAATCAGAATTGGAATCAATATACGTTAATAAAACATAGTCGCAAAATTTCTCTACTCTTTCGTCGTCAGGGATAATTGCCATTAAATATTCAACAAAAAAATTCTCTACATTTTGAGAATCTAAAAATGGCAAACCAAAAAATAATTTTAAAAAATTTCCAATCTCAGAATTTTCTGTGGAATAGTCTCTCGATAAATTTAATTCTTGAATTTTCTTCCAAAAATTTTGGGTTAAATGGAAACGGCAGCCTTTTATGCTAATTGTTTGAAAACATAAGCGAATGGCATTGTGAATTGCTTTCTCGAAATCTACAAACACTGTTGATGAAGAAAATCGCAATTTTAATTTAAAACATTCTGCTATCAAAATATCAAACGCCTTTTGATATGATGTTGTCATTTTGTCAGGCAGGAGGAAAAATCCTAGAGGAATATAAATATTTTCATGATGTCCAAAATTCGCGCATAATTCATATTATTTCTTATTTTACGAACGTCGTCAATCGTTAATGTCTGTATGTCACCTTTTTTCAATTTTTTGTGCAAAATTTTTGATGGTCGATCTGAAGGATCGTCAACAGCTTTCCGCTTTAAACAATTACTCAATATCTGTCTAGAAAAAATTTTCTCATCCATATTTATGAAGAAAATGACACACAAATGAAAGAACCAGGATACACAACATAAACACAAGCACGTTAATTGCCAACTGATTTTGAAACGAATAATTTCTTTCAATGCTTAGATTTCGGAGCCCTGGGACGCAATTCCACTTATACCTGAAATCATTGGGACGCAATTCAACATTTACCTACCAGCCCTTGGGACGCAATTCGACCGTCCGCACGCAATTCGGGTTCAGCCCTTACATCTGAGGCTAAACCACGGAGATGATTTCTTGTCTCAGGGTGCTACCTGGATTAGAAATCCCCGTCGAGTTTCCTTATTTTACAATCTTTCTGGTCAGTCAAGAATATCGACAGCGTACCGATATTTGAATTTCAAGAAGTAAAGAAAAGCTGGCATCGTAAAGAAGGCAGATTATCTCCTCAGAGTGCACGTTCTAGTCGTGTTTGTCAATCATGGGATGAATTCTAGACTAGTTCCGTAAAGTAAGAAATCGACATCCGAATCAAAGTCGTATCGCATTCGTAAATTTTCGGTCTACTTGGAACGGCTTGTCACCCAATATTTTTTCCATGTATGTTGGACATGAACTGTTAGATAGTTTTTTCAAAAAATCAGGAAATTCAGTTTGTACTAAACTTTTACTACCTAAAATCCATGTATGATTATAAACTTGTTTCCTTTAGAAAAGGTCAAAAACCTACCTGCATTAATTAATACGTACATCGAATATATAGGTGCATCTCTTTCGTTTAAAGTAGAGAACTAATGCACGGATTTCTTTCTACCTCTAGACGTTTTTTGGGTCAAGGTGAAATCAATAATCCGGATATTGCTCTAATAATCTTCCCCAGGCATGAATATCATGCGGTATCCTGCTATCTGTACTATATACTATTAATAATAAAGAAGTTATTATCAATATCATAATTACATCATCATTATTATCTAAAAATTGTTTTACTGATAAAAATATTCTTAAATGATTTTATTACAAACGTATCTTATTCTATTTATCATATTTTTTAATCAAAAACTAATCAATTGTCATTTCTTTTTTGCAGAGTGACCCAAGCACAGAGTTTCTACGGGCAGCTAGAGCAGGAGAACTCGAGAAAGTTTTAGAATTTTTAGAATCCGGTGTGGATATTAATACTTCTAATGCTGTGAGTATTTTTCATCCTACAAATTATTAAATAGTGCAATATTTATTCAACAATTTATTTATTTTTATTATTTACAAATGGTTTGAAAATATTATTGAACTCGATTATCGTAGTAGGAGAAACATTTACGATCTTAACATTTCCCAGACGCTGTTTGACATTTTCTTAATTTATTTTCACCATTGTTAGATGACATTTCGCTTAATTCCTTGAGTTCTGTTCTTTTCTTTATTTTTTTAAATGTACAACGTTGTTTGAGGATTTGTCGTTGTTACTAATCAAAGCTGCCTTTTTAAGAAAAGAAGTGGGTCACGCTTTATGCTCTACAAGAAAGATATTTTTTTATGAGCACGAGGTACATTCTTAAAAGTTATGTAGGATTTACTACTGGATTAAAAGACCATTAAAGACTGTTTTATAGTCACCATCTGCTTTTTTTTTGTCCAACGAGAACTTATTCTCATAATGTTTTTTATATATTGGAAAATTTTTCCAATACCTTACGAGCATTTTCTTCTTATAAATTTTATTTCAACTTGTTTTTTTTATTGTATTACATACAAGATATAAAGTTGTTCTTAGATACATATCTACATTTTTGGAATACTGTTTAGGTGTGATTAATGAATGATACTTTTTTTCAGAATGGACTGAACGCACTGCATTTGGCTTCAAAAGACGGTCACATAGAAATTGTTAAAGAATTATTATCTAGAGGTGCCCGTGTTGATGCTGCCACAAAAAAAGGAAATACGGCATTGCACATTGCTTCCCTTGGTAAGTAATTAAAATTTTCTAATAGAGCTGATTCATAATACTTGAGGGGGGAGGTTAGATTAATTCAATGTGTGTCACTCGCATAAATAATTGTTCTTTGCTATCGTATTACAATTTGAATATTTTACAACAAAAAGTTTAAATGAAATAAATTGTACGACTTTCAGAATAATAACAGAGATTTATTTACATTTTCAGCGGGTCAAGAGGAAGTGGTACGATATTTGGTGGAGCAAGGTGCTTCAGTTAATGTACAGTCTCAAAATGGATTCACCCCTTTATATATGGCTGCCCAGGAAAACCACGACTCTGTTGTTAAATTCCTACTTAGCACGGGAGCCAGCCAGAGTCTTGCCACCGAGGTAAACTTTAATTAAAATTTAGATTCTTTCAACAATAGATTTCCGACAGTTATGTAAAATTAGAAAAAGATAAGTTCAATGGATATTCTTTTAGGAATCAGCTGGGGCCATTCGTTAATATCGGTTTATCTTTGTCGATCGTTGGTATCTCTTTCTTAAATTTCCAACCTTGATTAGATTCTGGTTGCGGATCACTATGTGATGTCGAATACCAACAATTGTTAGCGGACAGAGACGAATTTCCTTACAGATGACGTTGATGCTAAATTTAAATATTAATTAAATAAAAGTCTGGTAGCAATGTTCTTTGTATATTTTTAAGACATCCTAGAGTCTACAGACTAGTTACTCATTTAAGAACAATTACAGTTGAGTTCCATAATAAAATTTACAAAATTTTTGTACTTTCCTGGTCATTTAAACTTTATCTGACATATCGCATATTATGTGTTTTTTGTATAATAGAGATGAAGAAGATTACCTCATGCTGATTTATGTATTTAGCTTACTGCATTATTACTCTTACTATCCAGTAACTCTATACCGAAAAATGTCGCCATTACATTGGGAGAGTTATAACAACGTTAAAATCTTTATAGAGTCTAATTTAGGAACCGCCACAAATTAGATAATGTAGGACCCTCTGTCCCACACTAAAAAGGCTTTTACGACTGGAATATATCTTAATCCTCGGAACAACCAGTCGGATTTAGTCTTCGTCAATGAAATTCCTTAGCATCTGTCTTGCGGGTCCCTTTTGTTTTATATTTAGTTTTATACCAACGATATATTTGATTTCGCAGATCGTTAATAAGAGTACTTAGAGAAATGCCATAGAAATCGATATTATTGTGGTACTCATTTGTTTCTCCAGATTATCTAGCAATATCAGAGTTTTTTATGTAATTAATTCTACATAAAGATTGTCTAAATAAAGTCTGACGTCTGGTAAACCTACGAGAAACTGCAAAATCAAGTTAAATTAAAATATATGGACAGTGAAATTCTTTTTCTCAACGGACAAAACACAAAGTCAATCTTTATGCGTCTAAGGTTTTTAAGCTTATCCCTACCTTTTTTGATCATTATTGTAATGGTAAACTAGCTTAACTCCTCGTTTATCAGGTCCAAAAACCGATATCTTGCTGCTAATACCTTCCAATCTCTTTCCAGAGCTTTCTAGACATTTTATTTTTTGTAGTCGAAAGTGGAAAATCTGAATATTCAGATACCTGGATTTAATCCAAAGGTATGTGGGGCTCTTTTTCTGATCGGTACACTAGAAACCACTCACGTCTTATTTTGGGACCCTTGATCCATCTGCGGTATTACCGTCAGGCCTTCTGGTGGTCCCCTCGTCCTGCTCCTTAACTTGCCAGGAATTCGCTCAAGCTATGTGGGAGCGAAGGCGGCAGGAAAAGCTAATTGTTTTCATCCCTCCTCGCCTACAAGCATTTGAGCTTTGGATTCCCTCCGGTCAACTTTATCTTCCGTCTCTATTTTCTTCCCCATTATTTTAATAATGAAGGATTCAATATGCCTCCTGGAGTCCACGTTTTGAACCATGGTAGATACAATGTTATCGACGTTGATTTCGAAGCCAATTGCCGCAAACATGCCCATTCTATCATGGTTCCATTGCCCGCAGTGAAATAGAGTATGCTCTGCGTCATCTACTGCAGCATCACAGTAAGCGCATTTTGCTATCCTCTTGATTTTGAACCTATGAAGGTACTGTCGGAAACATCCGTGACCCCTTCGCTGACAGGAAAGCCGTTTAGAACGCCATTTGGAACGCCCTGCCAGTGAAGGGGTTAATATTTAAACTTGACTCTATTTTCATTTGGAATTAATAAATGTTTACTTTCTTTGTAGGATGGTTTTACCCCATTGGCTGTGTCAATGCAACAAGGACACGAAAAAGTTGTAACTGTTCTATTGGAGAGTGACACCAGAGGTAAAGTTCGACTGCCGGCACTTCACATTGCGGCCAAGAAAGATGACTGCAAAGCAGCTGCGCTGCTTTTACAGGTATTGTCTTTTGTTCCAAATCTTTTCTTTATTATCATCCGCACTGTCCAATTGTATATTTCTCTTGGACACATAACTTAAATATAGCTCCGTATTAATAAATATAATTTAAATATACATATTTATTGGAAAACTTTTTCTTAACTAAAACTTTTTTAATAGAGTCACCACAATCCCGACGTGACATCGAAAAGTGGTTTCACACCTCTTCACATTGCATCACATTACGGAAATGATAGAATAGCATTTTTTCTATATGAGAAAGGAGCCGATGTCAATTTCGCTGCGAAGGTGATAATTAATTTTGTTTAGCTTTTAATGCTTATTTAGTTCTTTCAGAATTTGTTCTTAATGTTTAATTTTTATTTTTTAGCACAATATCACTCCGTTGCATGTAGCAGCGAAATGGGGAAAAGTTAAATTGGTTAATTTCCTGATAAGCAAAGGTGCAAATATCCAGGCAAAAACGAGGGATGGTCTTACACCTTTACATTGTGCGGCAAGATCAGGACATCATGAAGTCATAGACATACTTATAGAAAAAGGAGCGCCTATTGGTTCTAAAACTAAGGCAAGTAGAAAAATAAAATTATTCTCAACAATTTTTGGTTTAAAAAATTATTTTTCATTGTTTCCCTTAATTTTTTGAAACAGAATGGTCTTACTCCTCTGCATATGGCTTCACAAGGAGATCATGTGGATGCTGCGAGGATTTTACTCTATCATAGGGCACCTGTTGACGAAGTGACGATGGATTATTTAACGGCGTTACATGTTGCCTCTCATTGTGGTCACGATCGAGTGGCTAAGCTTCTTCTTGATAGAAATGCGGATCCTAACGCAAGAGCACTCAACGGCTTCACACCTCTTCACATTGCTTGTAAAAAGAATAGGCTCAAAATTGTTGAATTGCTTATTAAACACAAAGCCAGCATTGAAAATACGACAGAGGTATGTTTCTTCTTATGTTTTTCTATTGTAATAAATTTTGAAACAAGATACTTTCTTATTAGTTTAACTTTAATTGTAAAAGCAACTATCAAGCATTACTATCAAATATCTGAGACGTGGAATGATTGATACTCGGTTAAAAATCATTGTTTAAATTAACAACATTAATTAATTGTGATAATGAGTAGAAAATATCTATGCAACGGCACGTGGATTAAATTGAAGCAGAGCGATTTGCCTTTAATATTGTTATCGACTTACGTATCTTGAACTTGGAGTCATTAGAAGAAATATTAGTTCATTCTTCGGTCAATTCACTGCACAACTAAAAATAAACTCGTAACATAATTCAATAGTTTAATTAAACAAAGTAACGCCTATTACGATGGGCATTCAGATAATATGTGAGCCGCTGTTTCATTGCACGTTTCACATAATCTGCACATAGGTGAAACTTGTCCACCTAATATGTGCTGATAGTAATTCAATAGATCATGACCCGTAAGCAGACGAATTACGGTTCTAACTCTACTGTTGAGCACTAGCCCCAACAGAGATTTCGCTTATCTTCCTACCCCATTTCCTGTCCAATTTGTTTCATGTTCCTTTCTATCCCATCTTTCTATTGCTCCTTTAACCAAGCACGGCATTATTACCACTGCTGGTTCTGGACCTATAAACTCCATCTTGGAATCTGTTTTTGCCAAGACGTCAACTCTTTCATTTCCCTTAATCCTCGAATGACCCGATACCCAGACCAATGAAAGTTTACCTACTGAACCCAATTCATCCAGTGGGCTACGGAATTCCCAAACGAGTTTCGATTCTATTATGCTGTCACGTTGATTGTACGAAGCAAGTTAGGATATTTATTGTAAGTGTTCCAAAACGATTAGCCGAAATACCTGTTCCCAAATGACGGAGGGTAAACTAACCTAAAAGGGTTGTATCTGACTTCATTTTTTAAAGAAATTACACTGTGTCAATAAAATACTACATTATCTTTAAGTCATCCAGTAATTTAAACTTTTGAAGCTACATTATCGATTAAGTTAACTATTAACCTTCTTCCAGTCTGGACTGTCGCCCTTACACGTTGCCAGTTTTATGGGTAGTATGAACATCGTGATTCTTCTACTCCAGCACGAAGCTTGCCCTGACGTTCGAACAATTAGAGGAGAAACGCCGCTTCATCTCGCAGCCAGAGCGAGTCAGACTGACATCATTAGGATACTTTTAAGAAATTCAGCACAAGTTGACGCCAGAGCGAGGGTAAGTTCAGAAGATTAAAATTATCTCTAGAAGCTTTGAATTCAGTGATATATCAACTTTCTTTTAGGAGGAGCAAACGCCCCTTCATGTCGCCTCTAGATTAGGAAACGTAGACATTGTAATGCTATTGCGAAAACACGGAGCTGATGTAGATGCCACGACGAAAGATCTTTACACGCCTTTGCATATTGCCGCTAAAGAGGGTCAGGAAGAGGTAATTTAAAATGATCCAGTATACTTTGAAGCATTTTTTATGACACAGGATAATTAATTTTCTTCTTGCAGGTTGCTGCTGTTTTATTAGACAACAGAGCTTCGCTGACAGCCACTACTAAAAAAGGATTTACTCCCCTACATCTTGCAGCTAAGTACGGCAATATTACAGTTGCCAGGCTTTTGTTGCAGAAAAACGCACCAATTGATGCTCAGGGAAAGGTTCGTCTTTTATAGTATATGATGTTTTAATAATACACATTGCTATAAAGTTTAATACAAATTAAGGATCAGTTTATTATTTTTTGATTAAAAAGACGACAACAAAGTCTTAATAAACCTTTAGTCGATAAACCCTAGTTGAAAAATTTATTAAATTTCTTTTTTATATTTTCGAATACTGCAGAATGGAGTCACGCCTCTACATGTAGCATCACATTACGATCACCAAAATGTAGCGCTACTCTTACTCGAAAAGGGTGCCTCGCCTCATGCAATGGCCAAGAATGGTCACTCACCGCTCCATATTGCAGCTCGCAAGAATCAGGTAATCAGACTATTTAATTAAATGTTCAAGATATGTATATATCCTAAAGTAGTTAAAGACTTATATTGTTAAAGTAAACATTTTTTGGTAGATTAATAATAAGTTAAATTATTATCCACAGATGGACATAGCGACGACTTTATTAGAATATGGAGCGAAAGCAAATGCTGAATCGAAATGTGGATTTACTCCTCTTCATTTGAGCGCCGAAGAGGGTCACACGGACATGTCAACATTGCTCATTGAACACAAAGCTGACACCAATCATAAAGCAAAAGTAAAGAATATCATTTAAATCCACTTCCATTAACTTTGTTAATCAATAAAATGAAACAAACTTTTTAAATGTAAGTTTTTGTTATTTTGATGTTGCACTTTCTTTCAGAATGGATTGGCTCCGCTACACTTGTGCGCACAAAATGACAAAGTCAATGTTGCTTCGATTCTCGTAAAGAATGGAGCGCAAGTCGATGTCGTAACTAAGGTACGTATTTTTAAATATATACTACCGAAAATATTATACAGATATCTTTAAACTAAGCAATACATGTTCTGAAGAACATTAGAATGAATACTTTCTGGTTTTGACCTTTTTATATCGTGCTTATAAAGAGATCTACATTCTCTAATGTTATAATTAGCTAATTACTTCTAACAAATCAGATTAATATAAGTTATCTATTAAAACTGTTATGGAATGGGCAGAAGAGTTTCTATTTAAGCATCTGTGACTCTGATCACGATAGACCTCTGAAAAATTGTTAATGTTGCATCAGCAGTTTTGCATATTTTGAAATCCTTGATTTACTGGCTGCAATGTGATACCATAGTTTAGAGCCAAACAACAAACTAGCTAAAAGAAACCGCGTCACTTTTCTCGTGGTCCCTAGCTACAGTGGATTTAGGGTTAATATAGTGTATAAACTAATTTATTCGGCCTGAGCCTTCAAATGATGTTTCTGACAAACGTTTGCCTCTGGATATCAAATAGTGTTTGTCTGCAGAGCATCAGAAGCGATCTTATCGAGTTTCAGGAGTTCGCTCGCTCGCCTCTTGTTGAGTGTTAGCCCCAACAGAGTCTTCGCTTGACTTCCTACCATGATTCCTGCCTAATAAGTTTCATGTTCCTTTGGACCCCATCTTTCTATGGCTACTTTAACCAAGCACGGCATTATTGCCACTGCTGGTTCAGGAAATGCCGTCTCGGAACCAATTTTTGCCAAAACGTCTACTCTTTCATTGCCCTTAATTCCCGAGTGACTCGGTACCCAGATCAATGAAAGTTTATTTACTGAACCCAACTCATCTGGTACGCTACGGCATTCCTAGACGAGTTTCGATTCTATTGTGGGATTTTTCAGAGCCCCTAAGGCTGCCTGACTACCCATAAAAATACTATTCCTTTTGCCATTTGTTCCTTTTTGAATGGACATTTGGGCGCAAGTTAAAATCGCACATATCTCTGCCTGACAAACCGTGGCATATTGTCCTAATGACTCATCCACTTTAATGCAGCCAGTTTTTTGATAAAAATTCTGAAGCCTGCACCGCAGTTCATCTTGGAGCCGTCTGTATACCAAACTTCGTCCCCAAGTGTAAATCATTTCTTCCAGTCCATTCTGGAAGGTATAATGATCTTAAAGCGGGGTTTCAATTATACCCTCCTGATCATTCTATCTTGCACCATAATTAATTCTGGGATTAATAGAATTGAACGTGGAAGCTTGGTGTGTTTACTACTAAACTTCCACTTGCCCTGCGCGGTTAGCCTGCTCATGGGGAGAGCCGCATTTTTCACCGCAGAAATATGCAGAGGTACTTCGGCTAGTATGAATCCCAAAGCAGCCTTTTTTTATAGGTTTACTTAGAACACTATGGTCTTCCGATTCAGGGCGGGATCTTTCTACTCCCTAAGAACCATGTAGGTTCTTGCCCGAGTTGTTTTACCCCAACTCTCACGTCGAAAGTTTCAAAAAAGTCTGAGTTCTTTTTGGATCAGTTGCTTTTTCAATATTTTGCGATGTGAACTTTTAATCACTGCCCCCATGAGTCCAACGCCAAATGGCCATGCGTGATTCTTCTCATGGTTAAGCAATGAAACCTTCCCTGAGCACCTGATTCCAGTGGTGTTGTAATTGTAATTAGACTCTGGTACGAGTTCCAGATTGAGGATTCTATCTAATCCGCTCCTCCCTCTTGTTAGAAACGTTTTACGACACGCAGAGGGCCACGATGGAATTATTCGTCCACCGATGTCCACAGGGCTATCTTGCTCGATACTATGATAAACTCCTAGCGGTCCTTTCCGTCACTGCGTTGAAACACTAGTTAAAGCACTTATATATGTGGTCCTCCTACCTTTTCGAAAGCTTTATTGAAAATAATTTTTTGCTTCCATTCTAGTTAGGCTTTTTCATTTTTTTCTATATCAAAAGTAATTGTTCTATGGTCATTGTAAGTGCAAGAATCACTGATCTTCCAGTTAACGCAATTGTGGATATTTCTTAGAATTAATATTACATCTAGCATCTACTTATCCTTCACTAACTTGATGTTTAATTATGCATAGGTCGTTTTGGTAATTGAAAGCAACTAGCCCCTAGTGAGCAATAAAGTCTTCCAATAATTACCCTCGTAATCTCTTGTCCAGCTCCTCAGAAATGGGAATTAGCTAAGGAGACAATATTAACGATTTAAACGTTTCGCTTTACATATCTGATTGTGAGAACATTGTCCAGCTTCTCAATGTATTGTAAAATTTCTCAATTTAATTGAATATATCTACTAGCAATATAAAGGGATTCAAAATCATTACTTAGCTGCACTACTGCAAATTGGAAATTACCCAAATGAATCAATTTTAGTACTTCCAGTTTAAGGTTCCCGAAAAGATACTCTCTGAATTCAATTTACTTAACCATCTTCTGAGGTCGATTTCCAAAGTAATACTATCTTTACTTTACAACTCGGGTGATTTTTCTTATCGGGGGGTTTGGTATTCTTTGCATAAAAAACTGTTTTTCTCTTGCACGTGTGTCCTCTTTTCCTATTCGCCGATTTGATGCGTAATCCTTAGCACATTTTGTGTTTAACAGCAACTCAGGTGGTCTCTGTTATCCGATAATTCCAATGTACCTAGGCTTTTATAAAAGCAGAGGATTCAAATATGTCGTCCTACAAAAATTTGAGATTTCCATATAAATAATAATTTTATAAATATAAACACGTTACGGTGACGTGACAGTTGACACTGATAATAAATTCTAGCTAAATAAAAGTAGTGGATAGTCATTGAACTCCTAATGGATCTCGGTGTTAATTAAATTACTAAGGAATGTGTAACAAACATTCTAATTACGCTCGTGCTCTACATCAGGTCAGGTATAATTTTTTCTGGTTCAAAGTGGATTCAGTTTATTAATCCTGAGTTGTGGGATCATTTGTCTCTCATACAAAACGTCAGTCCAAGAATGATGAGCAATTTGAAATAAGTTTAATTAAGTGGTTTATCAATATGTTTAGAGTGTTTCAAGTGCTAATGCTTTATTTCATAATTCTTTGACAGGCTGGCTATACACCGTTACACGTTGCATCTCACTACGGACAAGCAGCAATGGTACGATTCCTCTTAAGATCAGGAGCTGATGTTGATTGCAGTACGAATGCTGGATACACGCCTCTACATCATGCTGCTCAACAGGGCCACACACTCATCATTAATTTACTTCTCGAAAGCAAAGCCAATCCAAATGCTGTTTCAAATGTATGTTTTATATATTTATAATTTAAGATATTCATAAATTCATCACTGCAATTGTGAATCATCTATAAATTTATAACTGTACAATAAGTAATTAATGATGGTTTTTATATTTAAGTATGGACACATGGCTTTGGACGTCGCAAACAAAATGGGCTATATTAGTGTCATAGAAACTTTAAAAGTCGTGACGGAGACGACAATAACGACAACTCACACAGTCACAATCGAGGAGAAATATAGAGTTCAAGCTCCTGAATCGATGCAGGAAACATTTATGAGTGACAGTGAAGATGAGGGTGGTAAGTTCTGAATTTTACAAACACATTTCTAATTTTTATATGAATGATATAATATTGTAATCACTATATTTTACATTCTGCTTTCTTTTATTTCTAGAGTTTAGAATTTTCGTTTTCGAATTCTATTTTTTTTTTAACGGAATGTCTAATTTTGAAATTTAGATAGATTATATATAATCTTGAAATGAAATTAATTTTATTTCGCCGTCTGGAAATTTTTGAAATTTCTGCATTCACCTAGAATTTAATTTAAAGTAGTAAATTTTATCAGTGGAAATGAAAATAAAGAAATTATTTTGTGCAGATATTTGAATTTGCATGAACAATAAATGCATGCACAGGCATGAGACTTTTTTCCCTTTTGTTATTGGCTAACGAGAAAAAATTGACTTGCATTATTTATTCCTGATGTTGAATATCCCCTTCCCCTGCCAATATTACAAAAATATAGATTGCGTCATCGAAAAGAATGACGTTTGTAAAATCAAGAGGTGGCGGTTAGTTGGATGTTCGGAAAAAAAAGAAAAAAAAACACCCGATAATTGATTCAAGCCGAATGGGAATAGTCATTAAATCTTCTTGATTTAATTGTGTTCTGTAAATAGCGATGTTCTCAAAGTTCTGTATACTTGAAAAAGAAAAAATTGGACAGTCTCGCGATTTATGATTTGCTTGTTCTTTTTGAATTTTGCATATTCCTTTCGCAAGCGCATGTGTTTAGCACATTTTTCACTGGGTTGTCAAAAAAAAAAAAAAAAAATTTAAGTAACCTTTGTGGAAGTTGAGGAACTGAAGATACAAATTTTCTGATTAGAAATATTTGCTAATAAATTTCAAGTTTCTTTTATATTTTAAAATTGGTTTTTCTCTACCTCATTGAATCTTCCACCGAGTCAGTTACACGAGTAAAGTGATAAAAAAAGTAATAAGTATGATAATTGCTTTTTCTGTAAGAATAAAGAATCGATTTGCATCCAGTGGGCAAAGAGTACAATTACTTATTCAGAATACTATACAGATAATTTTGAATTAAATAGATAGTTTATCTTTAGCAAATTGTGATAACGGACAGTAAGTTGCAGATAATTTTATTAATAAATATTTTGACAATAATGGAACAGCGGAAAAATTTAATGCCCCTGACTGAAGTTTCGAATAACAACTGAAGGACCTCCTATGTCGAACAAACTTCTCTTCAATCCTATTTCCGGTCTTTGCGATTTCTCTGTAGGAGCTCTTGCCAGACAAAACCACGGAGATCATTTATTGTCTCAGAGAGCAAATTAGATTAGAAATCCTCGTCGAGTTCCCATATTTTACAATCTTTCGCTACGGGCAAGATTATCAGCAACGTCCAACCCAATATTTGGATTTGGTTCTATTGCAAAGAAATCAGATCATCTCCTCAGAGTGCACGTCTTAATCGCGTTTGTCACGATAGATCATGGGATAAATTCTAGACTAGTTCCGTAAAATAAGAAACCAACAAATGCACCAGATTCAGGCGGAAATGAATTCGTATAATTATATAGAGTTGCAAATAGATCGAAAGATTACAACGATAACTGATTCGTAAATGTTTAATTATGTAGTTAGAATATTTTTCTCCTTTGAAGGTTTAACTCTTGCGTCTTTAATTACTACACTTCTTCTATAAATCAGAGAAAACGATACGATTCCTAAGTAAATTCTGTTTCGTTAACCAGATAATGGTTCACGACATTTTATCGTGTTAATTTAATTAAAGGACCCGGACTCCATTTGGCAAGTGAATTCCCAACAAATAAAAACCCTATCATTATACAATAAACATATCTTCAGGTTGACAATCATAAATACCTAGGTGCTTAGGAGTCCTTTAGACGTCTACTTCAGAGAATTTGATTTTCTTATTGAGTAAACGTATCTCCGGGTTGTCGCTAATGAATTCCTCGGTATTTAGGTGTCTTTTGTATATCTTTTTCAGGGGATTTGTCGATGTCTATCAAATAATCGTATCTCCAGACTGCTGCTCATGAATACCTAGGTGTCTAGATGTCTTTTGAACATCTTCTTCAGGGAATTTCTTTTAAAAATTGAATGCTCAATAATACTTGTCGACTTTTTAATAATAATTCAAGCACACATTTAATGACTTGCTAAGACGACGTTCTATTCCAAAAGTGATTAGACAAGACCTGTTGCTTTTTTCTAATATCTTTACGATGAGCCCTTGTCGCCGTCATGATAACTAATTAATATGGGACCAAGACTCTCCTCCTGTTACAGAGTAATATTCCAGCGCCTTTAACCTTTTAACATCTAATTGTACAAAATTTTGTTCTAAAGTTTCAAGTTTTTGTTTAATTTTCAAGTTTTTTTTACTATGAAATGTCAGAAAAAAACTCCAAATGTTGCGAATAACGTGACAAAAATATCAAAGGCTGATAGGGTTATAGAGAAAATTAAAATGGCGGGTCCAAAATGGAGACTGTAGTCGAAATTTATTTGCAAAATTTCACCCTATCTAAAGTATGAAATTCTTAAGAATGATTAGATTACTTGAAACTTGTTACTCAAAGGTCTTTGGAGTCGCTGATTACAAATTTGTGGTCAAATTTTCCAAATTCAAAATGGCGGATCCAATATGGCGGATCAATTTTTTAAAAACTTATTGGATTCTGATGAAACTTGTTACTCGGGGGTTTTTGGGCTCGTTGATTACGAATATGAAGTTCAATTCTCAAAATTCAAAATGGCGGACGAATTTTTAAAAAATCCATTGGATTCGGCTAAAACTCGTTACTCGGGGGTTTTTGGGGTCGCTAATTGCAAATTTGAGGTCAAATTTACAAAATTCAAAATGGCGGATCCAATATGGCGGGTCAATTTTTAAAAAATTATTGGATTCGGATGAAACTCGTTACTCGGGGGTTTTCGAGGTCGCTGATTACGAATCTGAAGTTCAATTCTCAAAATTCAAAATGGCGGATCCAATATGGCTGATGAATTTTTAAAATTTCATTGGATTCGGCTAAAACTCGTTACTCGGGGGTTTTTGGGGTCGCTGATTGCAAATTCGAGGTCAAATTTTTAAAATTCAAAATGGCGGATCCAATATGGCGGGTCAATTTTTAAAAACTTATTGGATTCGTATGAAACTCATTACTCGGGGGTTTTCGAGGTCGATGATTACGAATCTGAAGTTCAATTCTCAAAATTTAAAATGGCGGATGAATTTTTAAAAACTCATTGGATTTTGCTGAAACTTGTTACTTTAGGGTTTTTGGGGTCGCTGATTACGAATCTGTAGTTCGATTTTCAAAATTCAAAATGGAGGACGAATTTTTAAAAAATCATTGAATTCGACTGAAACTTGTTAATTATGTTCTTCAGCCATTAAGAAGTTATAAGAGACATACTGGACTGAGTCAGACCAACTTTTACAATTATTTACATTTTTTATATTGTTGATAAACAGATAAATAAATAACTATCAAACATTCCGTTTTATCCCTTTGAGTATAATAAATGAAAATTTAAAGAGCTATTTAAAAACGAAATTGAACTCCTTGTCCACTGTGCGTCATTAAATTTATATATTATCCAACTGGCTGAATTTATACAGAAAGTGTTTTATGTGTAGTGTTTTTTGGCAGCGATGTAGTGGTTGTTTATCTTCCTGTTTTTTTTAATTTCATAAATTTAAAAATTGAATGTCTAAATGTTTTTCTTTTCCTTTTTAAATGTGTATATATATATATACAACCCAGTGAATAGAGAGGATTTAGAAAAGAGAATTTAAAAAAAAGAACAAAAATTAAAAAAAAGAAATTCGAGGGTTTATTGATGAAATCAAAAATATTCCTCAATGGCGTACAATGTAGGTGGTGATGAAATCGACGTGGCTGCCATGAATGTGTACGGTCAACCGCCACACGCACAACATGTGTACCTTCCTTCCTACTACCAGGGCCATATGACCTACACTCGTAAGTTCTCTATCACCGTCTCGCTCTCGTTTTTTTGTTACTCTCTGTCTCTCTCTCTCTCTCTCATCCTCATTACCCTTGTCCTCTTCCATTGTCGTCTCTATTCTTCTTCTCTTTTTTTCTATTCTTTTTGTAAATATATAAAAAAAACACACGCTCATTTTTGCACAAAACGTAGCGATTCTATTTCACTTGTGATGCAATCAAGTATATTTATATTATGACTTTTCATATTATACTCTCTCACCTCCTTCACGGTCAAGATCATCATCAATTTTTTGCACCGTTTTTCATTTCGCACTGTGTGAAAAAAATATCTACGAATTTTTGTTCTTTAAAAAGTTCTTTATTCTTTAAAGTATTTATTCCAAATTCTGTTTCGTAAATATTTATTTCAAATATAAACAATTTTGATCACACACTGATTTTAAAAATTCCATCAATTTGTAGATTTAGATTTATATTTCTTAGATTTATCATTACAAGTAGATAATGTACATTTAATGGGACAAATTAATCCAATTTTTTCCCCTGAATTATCTTTTATTCTCGACTTTGTGGTATTTCTTGGAAAATCAATCAAAAATAAAGGTGATGTTATATATTGTCAAGTGCGAAGTTGATCCAAGCGAGGAAGGATAATTTGGTTTTGTTCATATGAAGAAGAAGAAGAAGAACTTGATACATTATCTATTTATGAGATACTGAATCTAATTCACGTTACATCATTCGTAGATAAATTGTGAGAATCATATCAGCGTTATATCTCGCCTTCAACTTCGCAGTTAACCAGTAATGTAACGTAAGCAACTATTTGCTGTCATAAGAATATTGAGGAAGTGATTCCGTCCATTAGAGAAGAAAAAAATCTATTTTTAGAAATGATACCGAAAAAAAATTGTGTTTTTCGAAAAAAAATATTTATCGTTAACGATATAGGTTCTGATTTCGATTAGTTTAAATGAATTTGGGTTCTGTAATTCTGATTGAAAGGAAAATCTAATTTTAAAGGAAGGCAAAATCGAATTATATCATTTGAATTTGTTTTTCGAAAAAGTAATTGAAATTTTAATTAAAGAGATCCTTGGAGGGAAAAAGGGAGTAATGATGAGAGTTTTGTTTTCTGCTAGATTATAGATATGAATTATTATCGATGAGATATGCAGTAATTCAAGTTCTCCTCGTCATTGCAATTTTGCTATGTATATACCTGTAAAAATTCGTCTTGACGTGTGCGATCATCATAATCATCATTATCATCATCACTATACCATCCTTCTTCTTTTTTTTCTCTCTCTCCGTCTCTCCCTCTATTACCTGTTACGCAATCGACAGTGTGCAGCCTTGTTCCGCGAGTCTTATTCTCTCTCGTTAGTTCAGTGTGCGCTGGCTTCAAGCCAAATTCAAACAGTGCACCAAAATACTTTAATTTATATAACGGAATTCCAACGGTTCAGTATTTTTCTCTATAGGAAATATGTATCACTTTTTTCCCCATTTGCAAAAAAAAAAAAAAAAAAAAAAATTCAAAAATAGATTAAAAAACTTGTACTTTTTATTAATTTTTTTTTTGAGAATCGAAAATTCGAATCCAACAAATAATTATTATCGAAAAAAAATTAAATTCATAAAGATGGTCTATAAATTAAAGGAAGAGAGGAAAAAGAAGTAAAAGTATGCAAATACAAAAGAATAGAAACACGAAATAAAAGAAATCCCCACTATTTGAAAACTTTTCTCTAAACCGGAAATTCCGAAATGTCAAAACAAAAGTGACATGCCTTTAATAAAAAATTGTTCCGTTTTCTTTCTTAAATAAATAATTAATTTCCCCCAAATTCTTCTTTATAATATTTGGGGAAAAATTAATTAATTATTTTCAAAATTACGGTATCGGGAAAAAACAGCTTTTTTGAAATAGTATTAAATTCTATGATAATTTGGATCGGAGCGTCTGAAGTCATTGCTTGACGGAGGAGAGGAGGACTTTGATGAGCTTTGAGGAAAAGAATAATTGATTGGAGAATTATGTGCATATAGTGAAAATACCAGTTTTTCATTGGCGTTGGAGGTAGATACTATTATAAAATTGGTGATTCATGGAATGAGGTCACTTTTCTAGTCTTAGAGTCGATCTTGAAGTCGACTTAGAACAGTTGCTGTTCCTGATCCGCCCGGTGCAAATGTAAAAACAAAATAGTTTGACAAACAAATTTTTCTTTGTGGCGGGAAATAATTTTCGAGATACCGTAATTTTATTCAACTGCCACAATTTTTAAAAAAAAATTCTACTATTCGAATTCGAAATTAAAAACTTTAGATTAAAAACAAAAAAAAGTTGGAAATTCAATTTTTCAAAAGAGTATTTTACCAATAAAAGAAGTAAAACTTTTCATTTCAAAATTGTTCAATGTATTTGTAAAATGAGTTTTTTTCCCTCAAAACAAAAGTGTTTGTGTGCTGGAAAAATAGGATATTCTTTTTTTCTTTTTGAAAAATGAAGAAAAAAGTGATATTTTCAGAGTGACATTGAAATAAAGGTGGAAATGAATTGTTGTCATTTTATGTAACTCTGTATATGTGAAGTGATCTTTTGTTGTGAAGTTTATTCAAAACCACGTTTTGACACACATAAACACAGGTGCAACCTGTTCGCCACAATTTACGCGCCAATTAGAGCAACTTACTCGCCCATTCTTTTTTATTTTTTTGGCTTGAGGAATTTTTGTTTTTGCATTCCACGAAATTTTTTTTTTTTTTTTTTTGTAAAACATGGCCAAGGACAAGAAGAGAAATAAGAACAAGATGCCTTGCTGCGGATGTACTCGCAACAGGAACAGCGACATTATAAGTAATTCATTTTTGGATTTTAATTTCAATTTTTGAATTTGGATTTCTTTTCTAATTTTTGATTGAAAAATTGAAATCCAATTTTCAAAACATTTCGGCTAAGTTTCATAAATTTTTGTTTTAAATAAAGTGTTTGTTTTAAATAAAGAATATAAGTATCGAGATCTACTTGTGCATAATATTGAAGAGCTCGTGTAATTAGAAGTACTCCACTCCTTAATGACATATATTTAATAAGGACTACTCATTGAACCGTTGTATGTTTAAAATTAATAAAGTGATTAATATTTAACGGACTTGGTAATAAGAGGGATTTGTAGTTTAGAAAGAAAATAGTTACGCGTCTCAAGTATATTATAATAGACAAGGAAGTAATTGATATTCATAATGGTGTGAAAAATAGCGGTGCTGACACTCTTCAATAGATGTAGCATTGATTGACTACTTAACTTGATTTGTAACGTCAGTGACGTTACCTAAGTGACCTTTTTTTCTCGTTTAGGCTTGTTTGTCTAAAAAGGCCCATCAGCAAAATTGTTAGACAATCGAGAGCAAGTGCTTTTTATCACGTTACGTAAAATCCTCATGATCATATTTAAATTCTATCGCGAATATTTTTTTTTCAATTTCAGCATCACTTTTACGATCCTTTTTATCATCTTGTTCTTCTTCTTTACTTTTGATGTTCAACTATTTTATAATAAATTAAAAATTTATTCAGTGGTAATTCAGAATGAAAAATTAGGGACATTTTCCAAAAATGAAAAATTGAATCTAGATCAGTATCATTTGGAATTGTTTTTCTACACACTTTTTTAATCTATAAAGTTGTAATTGAAAGTATTTGAAATCACTGACGGGAGTAAAGTTTTCTTACTCTTCAACACTACAAAAAATGAGAAAGGAAACAAAATTTAAAGACGATAAAGTTGTTGGTTCTAATCTAGATCTAGATTAGTGATCTAGTTCCAATCTATGACTTGATAAGAGATCTAGTTTCCAACCCAGCTCTAGATTTATCATCTAGCCGTAAATCAGGTCTAGTTTTTAATCTAGGGCATAGATTCAATCTAGATCAATCTATCTAGTTTCAATCTAGGTCAATCTATCTAGTTCCTATCTAGTTCAGGTACATATAGCTGATCTAGTTTCAAATTTTGCTCCAGATTGAATATGTAGTTCCAAAGTAAGTCTAGATTTATGACCTAGTCCCCACGTAGGTCTAGATCCATGGTTTAATTTCAATATTAGGTCAAAATTGGTAATTTATTTTAAAATCAAGCTCTAGATAGATGATTTAGTTATAAACTTAGGTCTAGATTGGATATCTACTGCCAAACCAGGTCTAGATAGATGACCAAGTTTTATAGTTAGTTCTAGATTAAGAAAAAATTTAAAGCCAGGTCTAGATAGATAAACATCTTTTAAATTTACTTCTAGATTGCTAACTAGATCTAATAAAAGTCTATATTTGTGTTCATCTATATCAAACCTACATTGATAATAATTAAGTTGTAATCTACGTCTACAATGGTGATCTAGTTTCAAAGCTAGTTCTAGTTACAAATTTAAGTTTTCATTGATGACATACTTTCAATCCAGTTCTAGTTTAGTAATTAAGTTTCAACCGAGGTCTATATAAATGATCTGAATTCATATTTAGCTTAAGATTAATAATCTAGTTCCAATTAATATCTGTATTTTTAATCTAGTTCTAACCCAGGTTCAGATTAATAATTTAATTCAAATCTAGATTTCAAATCCAGCTCTAGATTGATGAACTAGTAATAAATGTAAAACTAGATTCATGATTTAGTTACAAATTCAAGTCTAGATTAATAATTTAGCTTCTATCTAGGTCTATAGGTAGGATATCTATTTCTAAACCAAGTCTAGATAGATGACAGAGTTTCATATTTATTTCTAGATTAATAAACTCGTTCCAAACCAGGTCTGGATAGATGAACATGTTTCAAATTAAGTTCTGGTTCACCTACTAGTTCCAATAGAAGTCTATATTTGTGTTATTGTTTAAACCTAATCATATTGAAAAATTAAGTTGTAATCTAGGCTTACAATTGGTGATCTGGTTTCTAAAGTAGTTCTGGATTGATGATCTATTTACAAATTCAGATCTACATTGATAATGC